TGGTGAGGAAGGATTACCAGCAATAACTTTGCACTTTCCACTTTGAAGATCTGCACATTTCTCACGCGTGTCGATCGGTGTAGTGTGGGTTTATATCCAATTACAGGCAGTAAATTCTGCCTCCGTTAGAAGAGCTGGCAGTTTCTACACATCTGAAGATAACCATACACATCCATCTGCCGCGGGGAAATTCACTTGGCAAGAACTGGCTGTCCTGCTGTCTGGGATTAAGTTGTACTTGCAGAAAAAGGTGACTTTCTACTTGTAGCATTATCTAGCAGTCCTAGTAAAAACCATCGCCTTGCTGTGCCAGGGGTTACATGCCAACACAGGACAGGCTTATTCAACATAATCAGCCCAAAGACACCAAGAGCTGCATGGCTCTATAATCACTGCAGCAAGACTAATTAGCCCAAGCAGAGGGCTATGCTCACAGATAACACCGCTTCCATAGCTTAGCTACCTCGTTTAGTAAAAGACCCTTGATATCTCTAAACACAACTACGTTATGAAATATTAACTAAAAAAATATATATACCCAGAGGGTGGCAAGAGGCAGCCAGCTTGTGTTATTTCAAACTCTGCTACTGGAACAGCTGCCTGTTACCCTTACACAGACATCGACATTAATCTGAGTTTACAAATAAAAAAAAAAGGTAAAAGAAAGTAATCCAGTAATGTTGACATGTCAAAGGTCGAATTCTGTAATCTGGCAAACATGCAAGGTTTCCACCTCTTTGCGATAAGGGGCCAAAATCTGGTCCTTGTTTTGGCCCTTCTGCTGTAGCCCATCATCGAACCCTCGTTCAAACCACCTTGCAATCAGTTCTTTCTTTCTGACTTCCTTCCTCGCCTACTGATTTCCTTCACAGTCATCCCTGACACTTCCCTTGCACTTTTTTAGCTCTCAGATTTCCTCCGAGGACCAAGTGGCTCAAGTACAAGACCCCTATGCTCTAAGTTATGCTGCTAGCAGAGCTAAGAATGTCTGTTTTCCAGGCAACCCGCAGCAGTCGGATATAAGCCTGGCTGAATCCTAGAGAAAACACTAAAAACCACAATAGGTTAAAGCGATACTGTCTAGTTAAATCTATATCATTTATAAGGTCTCCTTACTACCTAAATAATAAATATCAACATCTTTTTGTGTGATTTAACTAGTGATTTAACTTAAATGGTTAATATGTAACAAACCAGTTGATAATGACAACTGTTTGTCCAACAAACTGGAAAAAAAAAAAAAAAAAGCCAAGACGGAAACAGACACCTTGAACTTGCAGGAAATAGCTGTATGAGTTTTAAGGACTTTTTTTTTTTTTAACCTACTTTTATGGCCCTCCTGTAAAGCAAATATAGTTTATTACTAATACTGCAGAAAGAGCCCAAAGTTTTGTTTTTTTCCCTCTCCCCCTCTGCAAAAAGCTGCCTTGTTTGTGTCGCTGCCTTGTTTGTGTCTCTGCCTTGCAACAAACAAGAAGATGAGACATTTATGCCAAACGAATCAGTCTAAATGTGTTGTTTTGACCTCTAAGCCAAATTTTCTGCATTACATGCCCATGGCTCACATAAAACAGTACATTTTTTTTTCCTGACAACTGAACCCTGTAACATATGCATAGACTGCTCAACAAATTGCTCTATCATTTATCTCTGAACGTATTTGTATCAGGAAAAAAGAGGGTGTAGGAAATTTGGCACTATGAGGTATCACTGCCTGCCACCCCCTTAGACCCTCTCAGTTTTCTGTGTTTGGGAAACCAATGCACATTTGGACACAAATCCAACTACAAGCAAAATGAGAAATCTTCACTAAAATGAAAAACAGCAGGACAGCGGATATAAATATCTGGAGGACAATATGCTTTACCTTAATAGGTAATTTTGTATATTTTATTTATTGGAGCAGAGATATTCAGCATTCCACCAGAGCAGAAATTTTAGGATTGAAATCACGAGCAACCTTGACTTCTCAAAGACAAGTTTGTACTGGATGGTGTCCAACGTGAACTCCACTTGACCTTAAAAGCACTACTGACTTTTCAGCTAGAAACCAGAGTTTCCACACTGGCTGCACAAGACGCGCTTTTGCAGCTAGACAGACAACACCATCCGGACAAATATTTATTTTTCTGGCAGATAAAATGGCCTCATCATATTTACTGCAGCGACACGGATGACAGAAAGCCTGCTGAGAGGCACGCGCTCTCTCTGGGCGAATTTCAGGGCTGCGTGGCCTTCGTCCCCGTAGCAGCTGATGATCCGGGGGACTGGGAAATCACGCCGGTCTTCGAAAAGGGGGATTCCCCTGGGGTATATTTCCTCCCTGGGCACAGGGCAGGACAGCATGTACCACCCCAGGCATCCGTCAAGCAGCTGCAACGCAAAGAGGCTGCGATGAATCAGAAAGTCAGCCCAGCTACGCCTGTACGCGCACAAGCCAGGGGGCAAAGCCCTGGAGCCAGCGACCGGCGCACGAAGGCCCTGCAGACCGCAGGGGCGGCGCGGGAAGCCACCCCCTGTACCGGAGGGTTCCTGGCGAACCTTGCCGCGACTCGTGGCGCGGCGCACACACGCGAGGGGAGCGCCACCACTGCGGGGACCTTCCTCCGACGTCGCTCTCCTTCCGGTGCTGGGAATCCCACACCACCGCGCACCCTCCTCGCCATCCATCCACACCATCCTGCCAGCCCATCCAGCTTCCATCTTAGTACAGTCGCTGCCTCGATGGGAAGGACTTGAGCTTTCACGAGTGACTACGCTCCAGCACCTAACAAGCTGAATTAGTCTCTCTCTTACACATATATTAGGCTCTCTCTTACATATATATATCTCTCTCTCTATATCTATCTCCCTCTCTCCTGTGACTTGCATTCCCCTTTTTTATCTCCCATGGAAATACAGTATTTTCTACTCATAAATACTATTATTGCCTATTATTGCTCCCCCCTCCTTTCCCCCATCATTCTCACTAGCTTGTTTGTTTGTTTGTTTTGTTACTTTCCATTTGAAATTCTTTGCCCCAGCACATCTCCTCAGCATATTTCTCAGTTACAGCCAGGGTAAGAGAGAAGATGAGCTTCACTTTGCTCAACTTAGCTTCTTTCCATCTTTCTAAGTCTCACCTGACACCCACACCTTTTCATCTCGTGTTGGAAACCTTCAGAAAGGATTGCCTTTTAGAATAAGCAGCAAATAGCTATCCTTTCAGCCCTCACCAACCCACTTCATTAGAAATGTGATTAAGCTATTTTTTAACCAACCACCAACAAACATAAACGGAAGTAACCGCTGATAACCTCTGCAATCACAAGTACCTCTCTAGTGCTGGTCTCCAAATCAAGATGGTAAAATCTGTTCTAAAGGAGGATCAAAAGTATTTCTTTTCTTTCTAAAGCACCAGTTGCACAGTAGTAATTTTAGACATTTAAGACAGCTCAAACCTGCTGCTGGATTATTTTCAACAGGAGCTTTGTGGGCAAGGGCAGTTCGGAGGCTGCCCAGCCATGGAAGGCAAGAGGTCCCAGAAGCCCCGACTGCAGCCAGGAATCTTCTCTGTGGGAGAAGATTTCAAATTAATTTGTAAGAGAGGACAAAAGAGTGAGCTGCTGACTTCTGAACCTTTAGGAAACTGCCACCATGCGCAAACATCACTTTTTCTTTTCAGTTTTCCCATCTTTGGTCAGATGACGGTGAACTGGTCTACTGAAAACGTAGGTGAGGCAAGGCAGCTGGTATCAGACAGCTGGGAAATGAGCAGAGTTCAAGGTTCAGCTATTATTAAAAAGCATACACATCTTTCTATATTTATTCCCGCTTTACAGCTCCAAATAAAACACATGATGAGTTTACAACTCTAAATACAACGCAGGAAAAAAACCCTGAGACTCATCTGGGAAAACCAAACTCATATATACGAAAGCACCACATGGATTATTTTTTTTTTTTTTCCTGCTACCACATATACAGCTACATTTCTAAAAATACGCTACGAGCCTTAGAGTTAAACATAACAAAATAGAAAAATCACTCTCTGACAAACATAGCCACAATTTGAAATCAAGCGGCCTGTTCCTCACCCCAGCTCCATCACAGATCTCCTCCAAAAGCCGCTTAGGACGATCCATACATCGCAGCACGCTGTACGCTCCAGCAAGCTTCAGATGTGGGTCTGACAAGTGGCAGGGAGCTCAGCCCGGCCAACTGAATTACTTACCCTGCTTCTCGGGCAGATTTCACAGGGCTCATCATCGCTGCTCCCAGCCTGATACCGCTGGCACAATAACCAGCTCTCTCCCTGCAACATCCAAGCTGGCCCCTCGTCTTGGGGCATGGCTCCATTTCCCCAGAGAAAGAACAAGCGAGAGGTGTCACCTGGGCCATTCACGCACTTAGGTGCTTTCCCTGGAGGTCCCTCAGAAGGGCAAAATGATTTTAGTGAGTAAAAATAATGCCTGCGGTGAAAACGCCATCACCGGACCGACCGTGCAGCAGCTCCATCTGAGAAGGCATCTCCGGCACTCACAGGACCCACTGCCGGCACTCGCACCCCGCCTGCGCCCTCGGCATGGCGCCGACCCGGCACCTCTCCCTGGGGTCCGCAGACTGAAAGGCCAGAAGGGCTGTAAAGTCTGACCTGACAAGTAAAAAACCTCTACGTGATAGCTTGGGCGTATTCACCGCCGCTTTGAAAAAAATGCTCTTGTAAGTAAGAAAATGCGGCTGTAACTGAGAGGCAGAGGAATGAAAACAACCACCCCCCATACCAGAAGGCAGACGGCCAGCGCAATCCAAAATATCTTTTCTACGTGCCTTGCAAGAATCCATTCAAAAACAAACAGCAACCACCACCACCACCACGACATACAGCTGCAGCAAGCTCCAGCTGGCAGATAATTCAATAACCGCCTCCTTTTTTTCCCCCCTTTACACTGAAAAAGGTTAAGCCCGAGAGTTTGCCCCAGGGCCCTGCTCTGGCAGCAGGCCAGGCAGGAGGTACTCACTGCAGGCTCCGCAGGTGAAGCAGCCATCATGGTAGAGGTTGCCCATGGCCTGGCAGGCCTGGTTCGCTCCGTACACCCCCTTGCTGCACTTCACGCAGGTGCCTGGAAGAGAGAGAGGAGGAGACAGAGGTCAGAAGCGGGACCCGGCGGTGTGGCTGGGGTCACTAGCTGGGTGACCACACCTGCAGTTTGGCGTGGTGGCTCGGCAGCTGGGGACCAGGCAGTTCACTGAAGCCCCAAGATGTAGGTGACGTCGGCGCCACCCGCTGCGAGAGGTGCTGTTAACAGTGGTTATGAGGGTCATCAAACCGCCGCAGCGAAAGCCTTTTGCAAAAAGCAAACCGAACAAGAACGGCCCTGTCTGGCTACAGCAACATCTCCTTCCTGCTCCCACCCTTCCCCACAACCTTCGTATACATTTAAAACTGCGTAAGGACCTTCCCAAAGCCTGGGTGGCAGTACGGGGCGCTCCGGCCTGCTCACAGACCAATAGCTTCTGCTACTTATTGCACGAGATAAGCCTGTTGGTTGCAACCGATGTGAGGAAAACACATCTCTTCACTAAGCACCTTTAAATCTTCATCCATTTCAGACCCTGGTCGTGTCTGCTGAAGGCCCTAAGGATTTCCCACTGAAACAGAGCCGGACTACCCGATACCTACCTCTCTTCCCTCTGTCAGCCACGTCTCAACAGAGACTCCGTGTGGGCGCTACTTACAGATCACACACCCTGCCCAGATGTTCCTCTCGCCTCTTGCGCAACAAGATAAGAAAGAAGCCAGTTTTAAGGAGAGGATACCTGCCCGTGGCGGCAGCCAGGAAGGGCTGACTCTCAGGGGGCCCGTGGGGCAAAGGAGAGCAGGGGAAGCTCACATGGTCAACTTCTGGTTGTAAGCTGTCCCAAGTGCAAGTCCAAGCACTGTGTGCTCCTCACACCCAGGCTTTCCTGCCACCACCAGGTTCACCTAAAGACCACGGTCAGTTCTGGAGCTCCAGAGGAGGGAGAAGACAACCATGCTCAGCTGTTCAGCTCAGTCTCTTGCCAGCACAGCCAAGCACATTTCTACCAGCACCCACCATGGTGTGGGGCTCCAACCTGAAACCTGAGCTGGGCAGAGAGCTCAGGGTGAGGACTTCCACCTCATGAGGAAGCCTCTGGGACCCTCCAGCCACAGACCGGCCTGATTGGGGCTGGGAGTAGCAGCACCGGTGGTGATGGTGGGGAGGGCCCACAGGGAGAAGACTTTAGCACTGCAGGTTCGCAAAGGGTGTTGTCTGTTCACCTAGGACCTCTCAAATCTCACCACATTTCCATGTAAAACCATTTTGATAATGGAGTAAGAAAGGCCAGCTAGGTTTCATGCCCTTGATGGCATGCACTAGCAGGACCTGCTCCCTCCACCTTGCACAGCGAAATGCAGCGAGGCCACCTGAAACCACTATTAGTGGTTGGGCAGAGAAAGTCCTTGCCCAAGGAAAAATGACACATCAAGCCAGTTTACTTACTTCAGGCATTACCCTGTGATTGCGACAGACTGGTTTTAAAGCAGCACCACCCTTTAACTACCTCTAAGTGAGCAACTTTAATCTATGTTTAAGCAAATAAACACGGATCTACTCAAAAGAGGCAGTGTGAAGGACAAACAGAAGATGTGCTTCTGTCTCTGGCCCATGACAACCCTGCGGATGTGATTTCACCTCCAGGTCTCTCCCTCCACCGCTGCTCAGTCTGATTCACCCAGGCTCTTAAATTCCCTGGGGCAGGGACTTTAGGTCACATCTTGCTCCTACTGGCCCAGGAAGAGGGACAGCATCATCTTGCTGGAGATCCTTAGTCATGCTGTGGTTAACAAAATTTCACTTCTTTCGGAGCACCGCAAGCTCCGGAGTAATTGGAGAGGTCTGGGGAAAGGTAGGAGGAAACCCAACATACTTACGACAGCGCTGAAAAGTAACTCCCAACTCCAGCAGCACCACGCTGGCACTCCCAGGGTGCTTAACAATTTCCTCCTGCAGCCGATAGCTGCGGCCATCAGTTTTCGCGCTACAAGGAGCCCTTTGCAGTAGCTCACGCACAGCTGCCGAAAAGCAGACACTTCCATTTTCCCAGAGCAGACCCAGCTCTCGGTGCTGCAGCTGCCTCCGTGCATTCAACCAGCACGCTGAAAGCCATCCTAGCGCGTTCCAAGCCCCACCGCCCTCAAAGCCAGAGTCCAAACTGACACAAACCTGGAGAGAAGGCTGCAGAAAATAATTTGTGACTCTGTTTTGTCCGAATCCGGCCTGCACTGAAACGCTAGCTTGGCTGCAGGCCCACCCCAGCACACAGACTGGCACCAAGTTAACAAAACTTGCTGGTTCCTTTTGAGCCAAGCAGATTTATCTCATTTATTGAAAGAAACGTTTTAAGAAAGCAAAAAAATAAACCATGCATGCATTAAAAAAAAAAAAAGACAAGGCAAAGGTAAGAAAATTTGGCTTTTCAAATGGCTGTGTTCTCCCAGGAATGCGTATGTTCAGCGGCAGCCTGAGACCATGTGCGGTTGCCTGACACAAGAGCTAACGGCTACCTCGCAAAATTCCCCAAGCAGAAAGAAAACCTGCCCGGTTTGCTGCTCGAAGCTATCTGTCCACGACATTCACCAGGCTTTCCACAGAACCAATGTATTTCTTGCACTGCAAGTGCTGCATTTTCCCCTTCTGTGTGCCAACGAGCAGCTGCTCCAAAAAAAAAAAAAAAAAAAGGGAAAAAAAAAAATCACCAGTGTGCTCTGATTTCCTTCTTTCCCAAAAGCAGCCGGGTGACACCGAATGTGATGAGCAGCAGGAAGAAGCAGGAGGCAGAAGGCAGAGCAGCTGAGCACAGGTGCAGCACACGGTAAAGCTGCTGTCTGGCATCTAAAGCCAATATAAAATACCCTAAAGCAAATCCCAAGGAGGGCAGAAATTGCCTCTGCTGTCTCCTGTCCATCCCATTTAACCTTCAGAGAGTGGGCACTTGCCCCTGTGGCTTCCCCAGTGGGATAGATCCTGCAGGAACTTTCTGAGCTCCCACATCCATACCCAAAACTTCCTCCATCTCCCGCTCCTCAACTGCCCCCACCATCCTTTCTCCTTGCTTTCAGCACATGCTCCATTTCATCCCAATTAACCCTTTTATCCACTTCTCTAAATATTTAGGCCCTTAAAACGTGGAAAAGAAAGTCACAGAATATAAGGGCTTTTAAAATAAATGAACAATGTGGGCTGTAAAAACTATAATGTGCTAAATTACCCAACTACATAATAACCAGCCATGCTATAAATATTTATAGATGTCTTGTGGCAAAGCTGACAATTGAAAAATGGCATTACGGCAAATCCGTGTTATAGTTTATGTTTTTAATTGTATCTGCTAAATCTTACTTGAAAGCCAATTAAATCTCAGTAGCAATTGGAATTGTTCTAGAAATAAGTCTTTGCTTCTTCCAAATAAAATATTCTGAAATATTTTAAGCAACATACTTGAGTCTTCATCTGACTCTCAGCACACCAGGCCTGAAAGGATTAAAAAAAAAAAAAAAAAAAAAAAAAAAAAAAAGGTGTTTTTTATTGGTTTTTCCTTTCCACTTTTTTTTTTTTTTGCCATTTGCTCCCTGCTGCCACAGTGATCCTGTTCTTTCGCCTTCGGCCACACAAGGAAAAAGCGATACCTGTTGCTGACGGCGGCCAGTCGCTGAGCTCGGCACCACGCATGCGAAGCCAGCCTGATGGAAGGCAGCGCAGCACAGGCCACATCCAGCCCCATCCCACTGCAAAACGGGCTCCGCGCCCTGCTCCACGCCAGCTCCGACGACTATTTCCCGAAACAGTGCTGAGCGTGCTTTCTGCTAGCCAGGGCGCAGAGTTAAAATGTCAGCAGCACCGGGCCAGCCCCACATGCCGCTGACACTAGTCAGCAGCTCTGGGTAATTTTCTTGGCACAGAGCAACTTTTAGTAAACACTTCTGCCCTCAGCTCGAAGCAGAGGGATCCCGAGTAACAACAGCCCAGCAAGATGCCCGATTCCGGCACTCGGTTACTTTGCCGCACACAAAGTGATTATGCGAGCACCGATCCCCTCTGAAATTATGGCTTTTAACCTCAGATGACATTATTAAGGAGAAATGAAAGGTTTCTCTCTTGCCACCAGGATGACAAGCCCGAAGCACCGCACCTGCACAGCGTCGGCAAATTCACGCTCGAGCGCACCGGCAGAATGGTAGCCAGGTTCGGAAAGGGATGGAAATTGCTGATTTCGGCTCAATTTCTGCCGGCAAGGCAGCCGGGCCCCGGACAACAAAGAAATCTCTGTTCCCTTTCACATCATGCGGCAAGCAACCGCCCGCGCTGCAGCTGAGCGCCTGAACAAAGGGACCTTTGGGGCAGCGCTGGGACCGAAAACATGCCCTGTAAGCCACTTCCCAGCGCTTGCCGTACTCCATCTCGGCTCGGCAAACCAGGAGGAGGGGTGCCACCAGGAACAGCCTTGGCTCACAAGATAAACAGGTCCAACACAGACCTCAAGGGCTGTCAGAAATGAAAGCGAACCCAGGCTCAGTCTGAAATGTCAGTCCCACTCTCAAAGTTCAACAAGTGCATTTCCATTTACTGCCAGACTCAAAGCCTCTAGAGACACTGCTCAAAGTGTTGCTATTTCACGCTCACCAGAAGAAGCTCAGTTACTTACTTTACCCCACTTTCTCAAAATTCAACGCGAACCATGCCGAACAGCATTTCCTGGGACTGGTTGGTATGATTTATTTCCACGTGCCAGACATCACCTATCTACAAACCAAGAACACGGTTGTGGGTTTTTCCAGCAACATCCCCCTTCTTGTCATCAGCATACCCCTTCTCCGCAACAGCCAGGACAGCCAAGCTTCCCTACATGTGCTCCTGGTTGGGTTTGCTAAGACTGTTGCCTAATTTTGGAGGGCCAAATGTGACAGTGTGCTGCTTCAGTGGTGAGATTTCCTTGCCATGTCAATCCGGTCTCAGGTAAGAGGAATGCAGCAGCAGCATGATTCTGGTGGTGTGGGTCTGCATACGCAGCTAATCAGAAACAGCACTTGGAAGAGTAA